ACGTGGAGATGGCAGGTGACAGAGGAGTGGCGCCCCTTGCTGGCAGAGCACCGTGTGGATTTGACAGTTCGGCCCTCCCTTGGCTCGGCCCTGAGGGGAGACGCTGTTGACCGTGTCCCCTCCAGGCCGCCCTTTCCCAGAGTCCCCCGATGGGGCATTCTGGGGCTTTGGCTTGCGATACGGACTGGTTCCAGGCACTGGCCCTGGAGCGTCTGGGACCCGGAAGGCCTGGGAATCGGCATCACAGCCATCGCCGCCCCACCCTCCTCTCCCTAGCAGGGCCGAGGGCCTCGCGGGAGCCAGGCTGGGCTGCGGCCTCTGCTTGATGTGCCGAGTGCGGCCGATTGGCCCGGACGCTGGGGGGGAGCAGTGGAGACAAATCCTGGCGCGTGGTCTGCGTGGGCGGCGGCGGAACTGGTGTCTGCCCGGCCAGCCGTGTCACTGATAAGGGCTCTCGGCCGCGGGCACCCAGAGGCTGCTCATTTGTGGGGACTGAATAATTTATCTCTGTTTTCGCATAGCTTGTTCGTCCTCCCGGCTGCGGCAGACGCATCTCTGCGTGTTCTGCACCTTCTGATGAAGCCGCTCGGCAGGAAAAGGAGCTCGGCTTAATCCCTGCCGTCCCGTTGCCCGGTTCCAGGCTGCTGGTTTGCTGGCTGCACCGAGGGGGCCTCCGAGCTCTCCCTCATCTTCCACTCTGTTCTTTCCTCTCTTCACCTGCTCAGGAAGCGTTGACCAGGCACTCGCAGGCCCTGGACTTGCAGGGGGTCCTGCAGTTGGGACGTTAATAACAATGACAAATCAGGTGTGGTAGCACAGGCCAGTCAGCACTCTTGGAGGCTGAGGCAGGAGGATTGCAAAGTCAAGCCCAGCCTGGTCTTGGTGGCTTAGTGACTTAGCGAGACCCTGTCTGAAAATAAAACATAGAAAAGGCTAGGGATGTAGCTCAGTGTGAGGGCCTTGGGTTTCACTCCAAAACCCCAAAAAGAAAAGAAAAATCTGAGCTTGTTCTCTGGCGGAGACAGACACCTGACAGCAGGTCTGATTCCAGACAGGGAGGTCCCCGAAACAGGAAGTGGTTGTGTGTGCTAGGAACAAGAAGGTTGGGTGTGTTAGGGGTGATTCTCCTGCCTCCCTGCTGGATGGTGGCAAAGGGTCCTTTTGTCTCTGTCCTTGTGCGACTGGAGAACGTGGAGCGTTCGGATGCCATGGGGCGGGTACAGAGCCGGCTTGTTGTGGCCTGGGATGTGGGGCAGCTGCCCTGGGAGGGGCAGGGGCCCAGGCCCGAGGGGTCCCAAGGATCCTGCTCACAAACAGTGAGCCATTTCCTGTCCCGCCGTGCAGGTCTGTCTCAGAAGACACAGCACCCTGTGACAGCGCTGGCCAGTCTCCAGGTCTCACTTCTGCTGCCCTGAGGTCCAGGTTTTCCCTGGTGCCTGCTGTTTCCTTATTGCTTTTGGTGTTTTTGGTTTTGGGGACAGGGTCTTGCTATGTAGCCCACACTGGACTCGAACTCTTGTGACCTTTCTGTCTCAGCCTCCTGGTGTGGTGTTTTTGTAGTACTGTGTAGTTTTCAAAGTTCTGCCGTTTTTATGCTTACAGTAAAATGCAGGCCCCTCCCCCAGGCTGGCAAGCACTGCCCACTGCTAAGGTCTGTCTTGGGAAGAGACCCAGGTCCTGGCAGGCACGCCCAGCCCCACCTCATCTGGGGCTCATCACCGGTGTCCCTAAGTTCCTGTGTGGGATCCCTAACCCTAATGGGATGTGAAATAGTGGGAGGTGAACGAGGTCGTGCAGGTACAGCCCCAAGCTGAGATTGGTGCCCTTGTCCCGGGAGGAGGGCTAACCCTGCTCTCTGCCTGAGAGGACCAGCAAGAAGGCGCCATCTGCTCATCAGAGGCTCCCGGCGGTGCTGGTGCCTTGATCTCGGACTCGGCCTCCAGAATCCAGTCTGTGGTACGTGAGGAGCTGCTCCTGTGGCTCTGTTGGAGCAGCCTGGCCCAGCTACGGAGCGTGGATGCTTTTGTTGCTGGCGGCTTCTTTGGACATTGTCTGTGAGATTCATCTCTGTTAGGTGTCACTAAGGGTCACTCTGTCTGACGGTCCCTTGTTGCTTTCCCCTCACAAGTGGATGGATGTTCCAGTATTTTCCAAGTTGGCACTGGTGCGATTACGCAGCTATGAACGTTATTGCACATGCCGTCGGTGGACATATGAGGTGTGATCACACTGTATGGCGAATATTTAAATTTAAAAAATAATACAAGAAGTGATGCAACGGGGCTGGGGATTTAGGTGCATTGCATGCCTTGCAAGTGGAAGGTACTGAGTTCAATCCCAGGTCCTGAAAAAAAAA